GGTTTCTCAAAAAGTTAAATACAGAATTACCATATGACTCCTACATATATATACCCAAGAGAAGAAACAAGTGTTCAGACAGAAACTTGTACACAAATATTCATAGCAGTGTTATTCATAAAAACCAAAAAGTGGGAACAACCCAAATGTCCATCAATTGATGAGTGGATAAATACAATGGAATATTATTCAGCCATAGAAAGAAATGAAGCACCGATACATTTCATAACATGTATGAACCTTAAAAACATTATGCTAAGTGAAAAAAGTCAAACACAAAAGGCTGCATATTGTGATTCCATTTAAATGTTCAGAATAGAAAATTTCATAGATATGGAAAGCAGATTCATAGTTGCAGGGACTGCGGGGAGAGTAGAATGGGATTGATTGACTAATGGGTACAAGGCTTCTTTCGGGGGGTGATAAAAATGTTTTGGAATTAGTGCTGATGGTTGCACAATGTTGTGAATGAATTAAAATGCACTGAATTGTACACTTTAAAATGGTTAAATGGTGAATTTGTTATGTGAATTTTACCTCAATTTAAAAAAAAAAAAATCTAGGGTTTAGTTAGCTAGGAGGAAGTGGGAGAATCTCTGGTGGTAGCCAACTTCCTGTTCTGTACAGAAAAGAAACACTATTGGTCTGAAGAAGTCTTTATTTCTCTTTAATTTTTGAAATATACCTTTTGCTTGGTGTAGAATTCCAGGCTGACACTTTTTTCTTCCAGAATTTTAAAGATGTCACTCCACTGTCCTCTACCTTACATAGATTTTGATAAAATGTCTCCTGTAATTCTATCTTTTGTTCCTCTTTATATAATGTTTCCTTTTTTCTCAAGCTGCCTTTAGGATCTTCTCTTTGTTTTTAATGCTCAGCAGTTCAAATATTATATGTCTTCATGTGGTTTTAGCTGTTTACCCTCCCTGGATTCTCTGAGCTTTTTGAATTTTTGCTTTGGTATCTATCAGTAATTTTGAAAAATTCTTGGCCATTATTTCTTCAAATATTTCTTCTGTCCCATCTCTCTCTCTCTCTTCCCCTTCTGGAATGGCAGTTGCATATATGTTAAACTGATATTGTGCCACAGCTCTTGGATCCTCTTTTCTGGTTTGGTTTTGTTTCTGTTTTTTCACTTTTTTATTTGTGTTTCAATTTGGATAAATTCTATTGAATTATCTTCAGGTTCATTGATTCTTTCCTGCACTATGTCAAGACTAGTGAAGAGCCTGGCAAAACAAACTTTTATCTTCTTACCATGTTTCCTATTTCCAGAATTTTCATTTGATTCTTTCCTAGAATTTCCATCTCTCTGCTGAAATTACCCATCTGATGAGAAAAGTTGTTCACCTTTTCCACTAGATCCCTTAACATGTTAAAGTTCGTTTAATTTTCATTTGATTCTTTCCTAGAATTTCCATCTCTCTGCTGAAATTACCCATCTGATGAGAAAAGCTGTTCACCTTTTCCACTAGATCCCTTAACATGTTAAAGTTCGTTTAATTTCCTGTCTGATAATTCATACACACACACACACACACACACACACATCATATCTGAGTTTTGTTCTGTTGATTTCTTAGTCACTTAATAGTCTGTTGTTTTTCTCTTGCTTCTTTGTTTGCCTTGTAATAATATTTTGTCGAAAGCTGGACATCTATTGTAAGGCAGTAAAGACCGAGTTAAATAGTTTTTCTGCCTGGAAATGGGCACGCCTTTCCTTTTGCTAGGACTTGAGTGTACTAGATTGATTTAATCTGGTCAGGAACTGAGCTGTGTTTGGGTTTTGTTCTTGCTATGTTACTGTCAATGCACAGCAGGCTCCAAGTTTCACTAACATTACCTTGTGTATATGATTTAAGCTGGTTTGCCAGAGTTTCTCTCAATGTTTACTCCACCCTCAGCTTTACATGTTCCAGTTGGGCCTGTGCCTCAGAAAATGTCTTTCTCCATGCTCTAGATGCTATTTCAGTAGTAGACTGCTGTTGTTACTTGAGGCTTATTAGACTGGTTGGTAGTAGTGGTGGTTGGGGGTGAGGCGTTTTCTGTTTTTCTCATTAAACATCAGTTTTAGACAGGCATTGTGCCCCTCCTGGGTTTTAGGGGTATGGCCTTCTCCATGATCCTACCCCATGCCCAGCTAGAAGACTTCTAATGGTCTGGGACACACAGGAGTAGACGGTTGTTTTGTTTTTTTTTTTTCTTTTCCCTTTCTCCAGTGGCAGGGGTCTTCACCAACACATGATTTACTGCCCAATGACATTTACTGCCCTTCACCTAGCAGTTTAAGGCTTTTTTTTTCCCCCATAGGGAAAATAGGAGAGAAGGATTTAGGAAGGGCTTGGTGCCTTTCCCCACAGTAGCTGATCTTCCTTTCCCTCAGGCCTGTACCACGAGGGAAACTTTCTCAGGACTCTCGTGATGCCCCAGTCTTTCCTGTGAACACACAGTAAGGTCCATGGAGAGGAGCTTGCAAGTTGAGTGTGAATTCCCCTTGAGTTTGTGGGTCCCAGAGTTTCTGTATTCTTATGCTGGCCCACACTGGCCTTTAGCAAGTCATTAAAACTTTTAGCTGAATTCTTACCAACTTGATGGGGGGATGGGGGTAGGGAGTTGGCCCCAAATAAGCAAGTGCATCTGTGTCACATCTCCTTGGAGGCAGCCTTTTCTTAAATTAAGTTTAATTGGGTTGCCCTAGAACCTTAGCTCATGATGAATTTAAGAAAAGTTGTGAATTTACAGAGTTCTTGTGATTTCCTTTGTTGTAAGAGTGCAAGCAATGCTATTTCAGGCTTTCCTTTGTCCTAAGCAGAATCCAGAAGCCCCCATGAGACTCTATTTTGTAGCTGGATCTCTGTTACATGCACCTGAATGCAATTCTTAATTAATACAGGTACCAACTTCACTTATTACTCAAAAATAAATTCTAAGTGGGCACAGGTATAAATAAAAATAAAATCATGAATAACTGAAGAATTAGGGAGAACTTTTTTTATAACTTCAGAAAGGGAAAAACCTTTCTAAGTGTGACTTAAAACAGAGAAGCCTTAAAATAAAAGCCTAATAAATTCAACTACATAAAATTTTCTATATAGCAAAAACTCATGAACATCAAATGACAAACTGAGAAAAAAAAATTTGCAATATATATAAAAAGACCATATTTTCTCAAGATTGCAAAGCACGTGTAAATCAGTAAGGGATTTTCACCCATAATTCATCCTTTACCCAATAATCTGTAGGCAAAGGACAGGAACAGATATTTCACAGAAAAGGAAGTAAACACACAAAAAGTAAACACATTAAAACAAATTTATAAACATATAAGATACAAGTTTTTACTTCCCAGATTAACAAAGATCAAAAATTTGATAATATTGAGCTGAAAAATGTGGGAAGAAAGGCATCTTTACATAATTTTGGTGAGAGTGCAAATTCGTACAATTGGTGGGCAATTAGGCAATATTAACATTTAAAATATACACACCCTTTGATCCATCAATTCAGCTCTTAAGAATTTCTCCTACATATATACTCATACCTGTGTACAAGGACTTATACACATGAAGTTCATTTCAGCATTATGTGATAGAACAAAAGACTTTAAATAACGAAATGTCCATGAATACAGGATTGAAGATAAGTTGTTATGTAGTTCTACCAAAGGAGACTGTACAGACATTAAAGAAATTATACACAGAAGATATATTCATACTTTAACTAAAATAAGAAAAGGGAAAACAGTGTCTATCATGTCTCGATTTGTGAAGAAAAATGTCAATTTATTTATGCTTCCTATGCTAAATAAATTTTGAAAGATACACAAGGAAGAAAAATAAGAGGGAGACAAGAGTGTGAAAAGACATACTATATACCTTCTTCTGCCTTTTGAATTTTGTACCATGTATGTGTATGCCTACTTTAAAAAAATAATAATTTTAATGATTCAAATAAAATAGATACAAAGTTCCTCCATCCAAAGGCTTCATCCTTGCTCCTCCAATCTTTGCCCACAATTGCTCTTCAACCCACCCACCTGCACCTCTGCTAGAGAAAGATTGCACTTCTTACTGCTTTTAATGATTCAAATAAAATAGATACAAAGTTCCTCCATCCAAAGGCTTCATCCTTGCTCCTTCAATCTTTGCCCACAATTGCTCTTCAACCCACCCACCTGCACCTCTGCTAGAGAAAGATTGCACTTCTTACTGCTACATGAACTCCATTGGCCCGTTCTTGAGTTTATGCATTCATTAGTAAGTTTTTCTCCCACGTGGAACAGTCCTTTTCTCCACAGTCTGCACTTTTAAACCTGACTTTAACTACCCAGGAGAGCCCTCTCTGACAACCATGTTCCTCGTTATGATTTTTTTCCTCTGAAATGGAATGTTTGTGACCAGGACCTCCCTCACAAATGAGTATATAATTCTATTTTTCCTAAATTTTTGGTTCTTGCTTTGTATGAATTAGTCTTGTTTTGAAAACTAGATTTTTAAGTATCTTGAGAGAAGGAAAGCAACACAACTCAAATATCTTTGTACCCTTGACACTACCCAGCTTAGGGCTGTGCACATATTGGGTGACTACCGTGCCTGATGGGTAGACTGGATCCTTAAGGAAGGACCAAATAGCCTCTTTAGAGATTATTAAGGGTTTCTTGGCTTGGGACCACTGACACTAGGACAAGAGTCTCAAGGAAAGTAAGAAATACTGGGGTATTGGAAGTAAATCACAGTATCCACAGAGGCCAAGCAGGTAATATAAATGTCTAAATGAACAGTCAGGGTATAGGAGTAGTGGCTAGTGGCTTCTAGAGCTGAACTGGAAAACACTTGCCCTGCCTAAAAGTTTCCAAAATCCAGATTAAATGAACAAAAAATTCCTCAGGCAAAAGCATATATCCAACCACAAGCAGCAACTAGTTTGTGACCCATGGTAGAAGTGGCCACTAACCCATCTCTGCAGACATTCATCTGTCTGAACAGGCAGAATGCTATAGCATGGGTAGAGGCAGCTCTGGAAAACCAAGCCTTCGACAGAACTCCAGGAGTGAGCCGCACAAATGTGCCTCAGTGGAAGACAGTGTTTACAATCTCTTCCCACCCATCTTCAAGCTTCAGGCCGGACTAGGTAGACACAGCTGCGTTGGCGTTTCTCTGCCACATCAGCCATGGTCCCCTTCCTGCATCTCTGTGACTGATCATCCCTTGAC